CTGTGGTTGGCACGAGAGATGATCTAGTCCAAATCCCCTGCTCAAGCAGGGTCATCTAAAGCAGGTTTCACCATTAAAATAAATAACTATTATAAGTAATAATAATAAAATAAATAACTATCGTATTTGAATCTTCTATTCTCAAAGGCTAACATCAAGAAGCTGCTCTTGTGTGATTTAAGATTCCTTAAGCAGAGATGGGGATAAGGACAGCAAAGGAATGTGTCTTTGAAAGTAACAGCATCTATCTCCAGGTTCTCAATGACTCCCAGTATATCTGGCCAATGCATTGGTGAAACCTTGTTTTTGGAGCCTGGATATCACCGCTTTGCTTTGCTTTTCCTCCATGTCATCTGGAGACTTGGTACCAATTAATATACATATATTTGCTTTGCACAAATAACTCAATAAATAGACCAGAGCATTTGATTGTTTACATTGTGTTTGGTGTTCAGTCTTTGTACATGGGAATCCTATGAACCTGGAACAGGTGCCTCTAGCTACTACTGCAATACATAATAAGGTGGGCACAGCTACTATAGCTTTGTATTCTTTGCAGAGGAGTCAAGCAATTCCAATTCCTTTAAAAAAGGTGTTATAAAATATTGCTTCATCTTCCCTTAAGGTGCGAGTGTTCCCACAGACCATGCTTCCCAGTGTTTCTGTATTGCACACAGTAGGGTGGGAAGTAGAATAGGATCTCTGGATGTCTGTAACACAAGCAAGTCAACATTTGAACAAAGAGCTACAGTCAACAAAAAAGTCATTCCAGGCAAAAAAGCTCACATTTAAAGTGAGCTTCTAAAGTTGGACAGATTCCATTTAAAAATCTCAACTGGAAGGCAGTAGGTCAGTTATGACTGTAACCCGGCAGAACTGAATCACTATGGGATATGACAACTGAAGGAAAGAAGAATGTGTAGCTATATGGCATATTGCTTTTTTCCTCCCTTCAGCAAACAGTGATAGACAAGGCAGACTTAGTATCACTAACACTCAGACATTTATAGCTCAGAATGGGCTGCCTCTTAATGATACAAGATTGTGAAACAGATCATAATTTCTGTACTTCATAAAAATTAGCATAGACACTGCAAAGATTTGTTTGTATAACATATTGGTCAGAACTTTTAAGCAACATCTCCCACAGAGAATTACTTCAGAGAAAACAGTTAATTGACAAAGCCTGTACTGAACTTAAACTTCATACAGATCCAATACAGCTACTATTGAATTCCACCACTAAGTAATGTTGATGAACCCAAATTGTCCAATAGGACAGGTAAGGTCAACACAACTGAGAGCAATGATGGAAAAGGGATCAGACAAAGCAACCAACTTACTTCTCTACCATCCTCCAAGGAAATAAGAATTCTTTCATAAAAGCTATCAGATGCATAGTACTAATAAAACTCCCATCACCTATCTTAACTTAGAAACTACAATTTCTGTGATACTTTCTGCAAGAACAGGAGGCTGTTTACTGAAACATATATACACATTTTATACCAAATACTATCCTGCCAGTTTTTAATATACTAAATATACAATAACGATTATTATTAATAACCCCCCCAAATTGTGCATTGCATGCTATCTTTAAAATGCAAACCACTGTACAGCTAATTTTTGAAAGACACAGTAATATAAAAAAAATTCTAAGCACAACTTAGGAAAAGCAACCTCCTGACCTCTCTTCCAGCCTCCTTTATGAATGCAGTCTCTTCTCCAATATACCTGCTTCTACAAACTTCTCATACAATACTGTATACACGATTAAATAATGTATATTTTGCACAGTGATTCAAACAATCATTTTGGTGCTGACTGAAATATTCTGTGCAGGCACAAATAAAAATGTTTAAAAAATGTTGCAATGTTTGCTAGCAGTCAGGTTTCTCAAGAATTTTGTAGGGAGAAGAATACAAAATTGGATGGGATAGTAATGTGAACTGAATGCCAATGAAGCAGTACATATGTCCGTAGTACATATATCTGGAAGTGTTCTGAGGCCATGAACAAAAGAAAAATGCAGAGGGCAATGAAGGAAGTTCCTGAACACTTGGTAAATTAAGGTTAAAGCACTGCAAAGCTGTAAATTACTCTTGTATTCAGCATTTATTCCCTACCATTGTAAACTGTGACCCTCATCACTGTTTTCCACCTTTTTCTTTCCATCAGCCTGGAACCAGACTAATTAAACCATATTGCTAAAACCAGTTGTACTCACTACATATGTTTACTATTTTCAACACAATAATCATAAAAAGGATGTAAGAGTATACTTCTCTGTGAAATTAAAGAACTAATCTTATCTTTTTCCTTATTTCCTGCCTTCTCAGGTGCGGTACTGCTGCACATCATTTTCAGAATACATAGATGGTCACAAATGTAACCTCTGACTTCAAGGAAGCTATAAATGCATCAAGATCATGATAAAGAGATACCAACCCATACATCAACACAAAGCAGCCAAACACCAAAAGACAAATTTATTTGTTCTGTGCATGTTCTCTGTGACAGACCAGTAAACCCCTACACCATGGAAGACAAGTCAGAGGAGATGGGCCAGGGTGATGTGCCTGTGAAACCCAAGGAATAATGCAGAGATTTATTATCACATCTGTTGCAAAGAAGCTGTCTTGATCTCAACACCAAGGGGACCTGAGGGTGGCCTCTGGTTTAGGTAAGCAGCTATCAACAGCTTGAGTGGATCACCTGGTGGTGTAAAGGCTTCTCCCCCCGTTCCTTAGAAAAGTGTGGATGTCAGGCCAACAAGAGGAAAATGTAGATGTGACTCAGCACAACACAGCATATAAAACCCAGAAAACTAGCAAAATAAATTCAGAAAGCAGTGGGCCTGAACTAGCTTCAACCCACGGATATCCTTTCTACCAAGACTGAGGACACCCATCACTGTGACAGTGACCATGTTATATATAAATTACTGTGGGAATCGCACTGGTATCATGACTGAACTATGCATTGCAATTGCTATATTCTGCTATGGGTAACTTAACATTTGTGTTGTGTTCTTGGTATGTTTTGTACCACTTTGCTAAATGAGAAATCCCATGCAGCATCATCTTCTAGTAAGTAAATCTGATGTTAAATACGACACCCTCCACCACAGTGTTTCCAGTTTCCTAAAGGAAACTGATCAGAGAATATTGGGCTCTGACATCCTCTCTTCTCTTTTGTTTGCCTTTTGCATGGTTTACTGCAAATAGCCCACAACACAGATGTTTTCTGTGTATTGCTGCTACTCCTTTCAATGACAGACAGTATACACAAAAATAGCTGATATTCAGAACACTGCCTTGCCTCTGAAAATCTCCTCACTTTTTTTTTCTTTTTTTTTTTTTGTTTTCAAATGACACAGACACTACGTTGAACTTGAAAAGTCCAAGCTGCTTTGTAAAAACAGATGGGAGAAGTAGAGGACAGGACAGAAAACACAGTCAGAACCTCAGCTGAAACTGCAGAAAGGGCAAAACCAACAAATGCCTATATATTGTATTTTCTGTCTATAATGCTGTCAAGGACATAAAAAGGTTGGTAATGTAAATTCATAATGAAAACCACATTTTAAAACACAGAACAATAAAACCTTCCCTGGATTTTAACTTCAGGAATATGTTTAAAAGAACTTTTTAAGAAAGAAGTTAAAGATACAAAGTTTGTGTTACAGACATGGGCTGCACATAAAAACTCAAATGCATTGTCAAGTTTACATTTTACCAGGAGCACAGATCAGCACTATTTTCACTAATAAATAATACTTAATCAAAGCAATCATTACATAAATGTGTAGCTACTCTCAACCACTCTCCTTCTCAGCCATACACTACTTTCGTATCACCCTTCCCAGCCATGCTCCATGAAAGGTGCATTTTTATGGTCCAAGAGATAAAATTAATGTTACCAAAGTCCACTCCTGTGAACATATTGACATGATGGAGTAGAAAAACTCAAAAGAACAACCATCTCCTAGAAGCAGTGAGAGGACAGCTCAATATCCCATAGACAATTTCAGCTGTACGATTTCTAGAGCACAGACCTGAAATACTACGGTCGACAGCCCTTTAAGTAATTACCTAAGGCAAAGTCAAAATGACTGGAAAAGCAGTATCACTGAATTGCTGGATGTGCCCACCAACATGCCCTGAAACTATATACTTAAAGTAACTGTTATGTGCTAATACAAAGCTTATAAAGTTTTAATAACACCCAAAACAGACATCTTGTGACTACGCTGCTGAAGCACATATTGTAGTATTAGACATTAGAGTTACTTCATATGCTTGTGAAATACTAAACAATGTGCCAGTACAAGCCACGATGGAGCCATCCAAGTTCTAGAAAAACAAAGACCCAAGTGTTTGCAAGACATACTTTGTTTTAAATTGAAAAATCTGCAGAAGATGTGTTCAATCTGCTCGCATTATTTATGAACAATTTCAACTGAGATTTTTTTTTTTTTAACTGGAAATTAACATTTGCAGGCACTGTGAATATTTCAAACCATTTCTTAAAACAAAAGAACAAAAAACTTCCACCTTAATTGTAGTAAAAAAGTGTTTGATAAACAAGTAATCTAATGCTATTGCAGTGAATATGATCGGTTTTAGAATGTAGTAAAAAAAAAAAGTAAGAATGGGAAAGAGAGACCTTTGAAAAATTAATCTGACAATTCACACTTGGCAAATGGAGCACACTGCTAATTTGTATTTCTAAGTGTGCCTGACAGCTCTAGTAGGACAGCCTAATGGCTCTAGCTCTTTTACAACAGATGTTTTACACCTTCATGGAAAAGAAAATTTTAGGTGACATGAGAAGAAAACCCTAAAAAGGAGACTTTACCTATAGGAGACAAACATCTGAATCTGCAGATTGCATAGAACAACTACATTTTGCAAAGCCTGCTCTTTTGGGATTCTTAAGAACCTTAACTGTCACAGTGCAGGCCAGCCCACATGTCCGCACCAATAGTCTCTTACCTGGCTTTGCACCATGCATGAATGCTCAACCTTGGTTTTGGTCTCCACAGAAGGAAACTGTTGCCACTTCCACTCCCAGTGAGAGAGCAAACAGTAATGCAGGAGACAGAAATGGGGTGGTGAGGAGACCACGCTTAGGACAAAATGAAGATCATTTCAACTTAGTCTGAACACATAGTCTGCAACCGCAGCCTTTAAGTAAAAAAAAAAGAAATTAAAAATTAAAAGTTTGGTGTTAATACACCATTATGCGGGAAGGGAGGCTTCCATGTCCATACTGAGCAGGATTTGGTCCCACTTCAGTAAACTGAATTTAGCATTCCTACCCTCCTTAAAATTATTCTCAATATAATTTAAGTAAGGCAAATTGACAGAAAGAGGAAACAGACCAATGTTTTTCTATCTCCCCTTCTGCCCAACACAACTGGAGAAAAAGAAAGGAGAAGAACAGTGATGTTCAGTGCAGATACTTAACCCTTGTAAATCTCAGGATGCCAAAATCCTTCCCTCTGTTCCTTTCCAGTTTGCAAGGACCACTGCCCAGATGACAGGCATACCATTCTTCCCTCAGGAAAGATAGGAGTGGAAAACTCATCCCAAGAATAAACCTCATCAATCACTTGCATTTATCATTAAAGTGACTCATATTCTAGTGCTGGATACAACAGTGTCATAGACACGGTGTAAGCTCACGTACATTTACTTGTTTTCCAACAGACCCACCATTTTTTATATCACTTTAACTTGCTCATTCAACTTCAGCCTCTTGTGCCTTGAGAACAATTCAGATCTTTCAAAACAGAAATCACCACTCAAGAGCCACTCAAAAATTAGATACTACTTATTATGCTAATTTAATAATAATTTACAAAAGCATCCCATGGTTCTTGAGCTCTTTTCAAAACTTCTCAACCAGAAAATTATTTCTGATTTCCAAAGACTGTGGATTAGCAGCAAAGCTGTACTTAAAGTGATACATGGATCTTTTGTCTCCAGCACAAGTCACAAATCTGTTGTCACCATAAATTCACAGAAACAGAATTTGTATTGTCAGGTCAAATCATTGATTCACCATATCCAGCACCCTGTTTCTGACATAAACCAAAATCTGATGATTTAGCAAGGAAAAAAAAAAAAAATCCAACAAAAAACACAGAAACAACCCCTCCAACCCCCCAGGATATATTTGTCCAATTGTTTGATACTTACAAAAAGAAAACATCTTACCAGTCTTTCTCAACTTATACCCTTAAGTGTTTTATTAGAATGTCCAATATGTAGCTTCCAAACCTACAGCTCTAAAATTAGCTTTAAAAGCATCTCAACAACTTTAGAGCTCCCAGTTGTAGCAGCAAAATTCCCTGGATAAGCATGTGCTTGATTAACAAAATACATTCATTTCGTTCCTAATTACTTCCATCATTTCAAAGTTAACTGCATCTTTGAGACCTCTATACTCCCCTTGCTGCTTCTTCAACCTCAGGCCACCAGCCATCCCATCCCCACAGGGCTTCTGATGACCATTCCTCCCAGAGTCCTCTGCACCTGGAATTGCACCCACCACTCACACATTCTTTGGGGTAGGTGAAGAACAAGCAGATAATTAGTTGAGATTTCCAATGACCTCCTCACTTCAAGAAAATAACAGTAATAGTTTTTTTTAAATGTTTTTAGAAAGATAACACGCTATAAACTATACTCAAGTTGTATATGGTTTACCAACAACACTCCTGGCTGTAAATCTCAAGGCTTGTCCATGCTACATACCCAGGTCAGTGTCTCACTACTGCAGGTCAATTCTTAGTGCAAGTGACTGTCCTCTTGGTCAGACTTGACACTTTAGGGAGATCTCAGTTCTTCTGCTTAGCAATCTTTACCATCTAACCAGTTCAAAACTGGATGTGCAGTTTTCCCAACGGAATTAATTTCTTCAATCTTAATACAAATCCCTAGTTAGGAAAATTACTTATGCTACTGTAACTTCAGTTCCTGCAGGAAACTATCTCATTTTCCCTCTAGCTACATGCCATAAACCTTTGTAAATGTTATCTTTGAGTATTTCACTCACAAGGAGCATCCAGTGCACTTTGGCATTTCCAGACTTCTCAAGCTCCACATTTTTCATTGCCTACTCTTTCTTATTACCTGGTCAATACACCAGGGAAAAGCTGACTAATTTTACTGAAAGCTTTGCAAATGGATCACAAACTGCTTGCAACTTTGCATTACTGCCTCTTGAGTTTCCCATTGCACTGGATTTTATTACAGAAACTATATATATATAATTTTCACAAATTGGATAGAAAACACTCGCTGTTGCAGAATACAGCCCTGATACTGCTCTGTGATGAATCAGCTTTACAAAGGAGCATGGTACAAAGAAAAGTTTCATAAAGGTACTACAACACAGTTCAAGTCTGTAACAGAAAAAGCTAATAAAGCATCTGCTTAGCTGGGTTTTAGTACATTAGGAACTAGTCCTTGTTTTTTTATATTTAGATAAACAGTTAACTCCAGCTCTTGATGAAAGCATGTTAAATAAAGAAAAATCTCAAGCACAATTTCTACATTCTATCCTAACAAACCCCCTTCTAAAAAGAATCCATACGTCTGTCCAAGTTCTTGCCTCTATGGTGAAATTCTTGAAATGCATCTTTTATTGAAGAATTCCTCTTAAAACCTCTTCCTCTTTTTGGAAAAAAAAACGAATGAAAAAATTGTACTAGTGAAAACCACGTTTGGGCTTTCTTCTGCAAGACCAAAGCACTGAGTTGGAAGTCTCAGAACTTGAAAATGCCCTCCACCACTTTGTTATCCTCCAACTGATAATAGTTATTTTTATGTTCATATCTGGTGGTAAGCACCAGAAAACTGTATGCAAGATGTCTGCATGATGCCTCAAAATCCTGCCTGCTATCGACTACCTTTAAAAGGAAGCAGACAACACAAAGACACACAATTTGTGAACTGGACTTCTGGAAGGAAATTGGACTGCATGAATGTATTTTTCTTTCCAAGTCTCTGTATGGCTTGTATTTTAAACAATGGAACCTCCATTACACAAACATCTGAAAAGATAAAAATAAACATTGATAAATGTTTGTCATAAATTGCAGCAACACAGACGAGTCTGCACACCTGGCACACTTCAATCTGTTTACTGAATAGGAATTTACTTAGATAGTTTTTTTAGTATTTCAGTAACACCTGGATATGTTATTCCATTCAGCAGAAATATTTTCTTTTGTTGTGCATGAACTAAACCCACCACCATGTCTTTGCAGTATCAGGCACTGCAATTTGTTCAAGTGGCTTCATACTTTTTCAGCCATTTATTTAGTGGCCTTCTCCAAATATAGAAGCAAGTAGCTGTAAAATTTGCACAGAATCAAGTGTCTGTAGCATCACAAAATGATAGCAGAACATGAGTTAACGGCTGACAGTAATTTGTAAAGACAGCATCAAAGTAATTCAAATATACAAGTAGCCAGTATTACAAACCTGAAGCTAATCAAATTAAGTCATTCACAAATGTAATGGCTGGAATTCAACCCAGTTCACAATTCTGTCTCCAAAACTCATGCGTGGGAAAAGATATCTGGCAAATCCTGGTACAAGATTAAATCTGTTTCATATAACTTCTCCTTCCACAAAGAGCTCCTCATAACGTCTACTCCCTCCTCATTTCTGTTCTTTGTATTACAAATTCAGATGCAGGGACTTGGCAGATGAACTTTAGTTCTTCTTCAAGTGAGGATGCCTATTTTCTTTTCCAACTGAAGTAAAAAAAAAAAAACAACAACAAAACCCAAAACCCAAAGAACATATCCCTTGTTCACTAGGAAAAAGTGCTTACCAATTTTTTTAAATGTCAAAAATTTCTTCAAATGGAAAAGCTACTTTCTAACCAGACTTTAGTTCTAACCAGAATTTAGTTAGGACTACTCCTTTTATATGAACTTTCCCCTACAATTTCTCTGTAAAGGAATTAAAGTTAAAATTTAAATGGTTTAGGCCATCTACTGGACAATTAGTCTTCACTGATTATATACACACACTCAAAATTTCATTTCAATTACTGAAAATGCAGATGCTTTTAATTAACAAGGTTGAACAATTCAGTCAAAACTTAAAAATAGTAATTGCGCTAACATTTTGAGATTAATTTACGTAGTATCTCCACTATTATATGCCTGTCTTTACCAAGTCCAAGGCAAGCTTACTTCTTATCTTGTGCTACGAGTGCCAAATTTGCCCCCGTATTTCACCCATGAAATCTGATTAAATAAACAGGAGTTGCCTAGATATTTATGAGTCCACAACACAGTTCCATAAAAAGTGCACATCCCATGAGATTATCACTCTCTCCCTGAGTGCAATTTTCTTTGCTTTAAATCATCAAATAATAACACAAAAAACATTACTAAACTTCTAAGGAAATCAGGACAGCACAGGAAGTTACTTCTAAAGCACTGAAGAAAATAATTTTTTCATGTTTATAACATAAAAATGCATGCCGACATGCGCACATATAAAAGAAAATTAGGGGTCATGACAAGACTATATTTATAATTTACAGGCTTTGTATGTGTCACAATTAACACTTCAAAATGACTTCAGCCTTCTTACGACCACTTTCACTAACACAGAAAAAAAAAAAGACCGCAAACATGGCTCAGAGCTTTCAAGCAGTAACTGGCACAGGTGTAAACCTACATAAGGTTCAGGGAATAAATCTTATTCTCTCTTCTGCCCATATAGGAACATTAATCTTAAAAGGAACACAATATGGTTCCTCCTTACGTGTTTAAAGTAGGGCAAATATTTTACTCCTGCTAACTGACCTGACAGAAAAGGATCAACACTGTATTAAGTCATTTAACACATAGCTTATTTTTCACCCCTGCACATTACAGCAGACCAAATGCTTGTTGATACCAGAGCTAAAACCATCCTGTGTTAATTCTTCATCAAGCATGCTCCTCACTCACTCAGCATTTTTATTTGTACCTTTACTTAGCATGTGGCACATTACTCACATAATTTAGTAGAATGAAAGTAGAAGTGCCTTTTTTCATATTCCATGGCTTCACTATTTTTGTAACACGACACTGCACAATTCAGGTGAAGAGTTACAATGTTGAACTATTTATTTTTATTTTATATTATCAAAAATAGTTCCTGTGAGATCT